TATATAATTTTTAAGTTTTTTATTTAAAATAAAAAAAAAATAAATTTTACATGTGCTGGATAAAGAAATTTTTTAACGGTCTCTACGGATCAAACACTTAGTAACGTTTATAACGTTAGACATCTGGATTGATCGAAAAAAAGTTTAGGCACCACTTTAAAAAAACATTAGAGTTTGAACACTTTTTTATATTAAGTCTTTTTGGGCAAACTATACGAATAGTCCCTTTTGTTTTTGATTTGACCGACTTTAGTCACCGATTTAAAAAATTAAATACGTTTGGTCCCTTACATTATCGATTCATTCCAATTCCTTGGTCGTTAACTCTCGTTAATCCGGTAAAGATAGTCTGAGTTGGTAATTAAAAGATTTTAAAAAATAAACTCACGCGTAAAATTCACGGATCTTCTTTTTCTCTTCTTCTTCCTCCTCTTTCTGGTTTGCTGTTTGCACATTGTTTGTTGTCTTCCAAGTTCAAAGGGTTTTTGAAGACGACTCTTACGAAGCTCTCCTAATGTGTCCACTTGACGTTAGTGTTTTCTTAGCTTAATCCCCAACATTAAGCATTTCTCAATGTGTTGTGTGATGTTAATTTGTTCTAAATAAAGTTTCAACAAGCATTCCATTTTCCCATCAGTGTCTGAAAACTTTCGAAGATTAGAGCAACCCGAAAGAATGAATGTTTCAAGAGATTCCATTCTAATCTTGGTTGGAAGATTCCTGAGACTTTTGCAGCCTTTTAAATTCAAAAGTTTAAGCCTCTTAAGCATTCCTATGGATGGATGAACATCTACTATTTTTGAGCAACCTTCCAGAATCAAAGTTTCAAGACCAGGGGCCACTGCGATGTCCGGTACCTCGATCAGGTTCTGTGACCCTTTGAGGTTGATCACTTTCAACTTATACAAGGGCTGTGAAGTCCGAACCAATCACGCCTTCCAACCAAGCATTTCAAGTGCTGTATGTTATCAACATCATCAAGAACAACAAGAACCTTTCTGTGAGACAACCCGCGGCTAATGATGGAATTCCCTTCGTGAACATTGAAAAAATTGAAACCTTCTTCAAAGAAGATCTGGGAAAGAAGTTGTTTCTGTAAAGCAACAAGCCCGCATTTCTCCGGGACTTCTCGAACGTCAGTGATAAAGCTTTTGCCTTCGAAATGGGGTGACATTTGAGTGTGAACAACTTTGGCAAGAGTCGTTTTACCGATGCCCGCCCATGGCACAAATTCCTATAATTCGGACATCATCCTCCCCAATCTCTATTTTCGAATACGACTCTTCCAAGCGTGAATTGATTCCGATCAGCTCATCAATAACAACAGGATATGTCCGACACAACTTTGTTGATATCTTTCTAACAATGTCTCCAATAAACTCTGATTCCTGCCTACACAGAAATAAATTCTAATTCATCCCAAAGGTAACAGTTCATTGGTCCTTAAAACTAGAAAGTGGAGAAGAAAAGAAAGAAGTACCTGTCATTTAAATGCCATCCCTTGATGTTAGCCACTTGAGTCAAAGCATTTCGCCACCTTTGAATCTTGTCTTTATCTTCCTTGAATCTCTCTTCGTGTTTGACAAAGGCTTCTTCAATTTTCTCTTTTTGTTTTCTTAAATCAGATGGATCGACGTTGTAGAAAATTGGGAATACTTCATGGCACTCGACGTTTTTTTGTTTAACAATCTCGGCAAGCTCCTCCAAGCAGCAACCTGAAAAGGCATTGGTCTCAGAGAAAACGATTACAGAGCACCATGATTGTTGAATGGCTTTAAAGAGTTCCGGTGCGACCTCTTCACCGGCCTCCAGCTTCGGATCATCCCTGAAAGTGACGATTCCTCCCCGTTTCAGTGCATCTAAAGATGATCTATAAAGTTTTTGCGGGTATCTTCGCCTCTAAAACTCAAGAAAACATCACGAGGAAGATGAAGGTAAAGACAACATGAGGAAGTATGAGAAGGACAAGAAACGTTAATCTGCTGTTCAAAATCAGAGAGAAACTAGTATATGAGCATCAGTAAGGAGAAAGAAGGATAAAAGTGGAAAGTTATGGGTTTTTCTTCGCAGGAAGAATCGGAGAAGGTGAGAGTAAAATTGGAGTTGCTTTACTTCGCTCCCTTTTTGTTACTGGAAGACTGTATAGTCATAAGTCGACTAAGTCACTTATAAAATTATAATGGGAAAACTATATGAATGACCACCCAGTTATGGGATTGATGTCCAAATCACCACCATTCTCAAAATTGTGTCAATACAACCACTTAATTATTTAATTGGTTTCAATATAACCACTTGCCATTAAATAAATCGATATAACTACATATTTGATTCTCAATACTTAAACATTCAATCAATTTGGTTCTAATTCACAATCTCCTATGTTCTCTTATGAAGTTTGTCGTGTTCATTGTAACGGAAGTGGAGCATGCATAGACTCCGCCCAGGCATAAAGTTGCAGACACAAGAAGAAATGCCTTCCACTGTTTGCTGGATGCAAGAATTGCCAAAGCAGTAAGCACTAGAACCGCTGCACTAAGCCTATTTTTCCGGTTTCGATTGAATGTATAAGTATTGAGGATCAAATATGTAATTATATCAATTTTATTAACTGCTACGTAAGCACTTCCGTTAAATATTAACGACAGGCGGTTATATTGGAACCAATCAAATAGTTAAGTGAATAAGTGGTATGAATATGCTAAACATTCAAAACAGGCTATATTTGAACATGTACAAAAAGTTCAGACTTTGACTGTTTTAAAAGTTCAGAGCAACAATCAAAACGTTAGACATTTTTTAAAGTATGTAACCCAATTCCATTCCATTCCAGAGTCCTGTTCGGTACGTTTTCATCGATCCTCTATCGATGACTAACTCAGGCAGCCCGGTTCTGTCAAGTTGGTAAGTGAAGTTCCCCGGGGATGAATCATCGGCACTTTTCCACGATGTTAGATATCTTTCCTCGCCGGTCTTTAAGTTCCATCCTATTGTCATACCTGCCAAGAGTGTGTCTGAAGGGGAATCAAAGCTTTGCCACAAATACCTTTCAGGCATGCTTTTGTTGTCCTTGAGAACAAGGTTTCCGGTATCTAACAGCTGTGCCACGGGACGTTCCGCTGTCCCAGATACATTGGATGACCAGACGACACTCTTCTTCCGGTCCAAGAGCACGAGATTTCCACCGTCCCTTACCGTTAAGACCCCTTTCGTGTCGGCGATCGGGTTGTTTCTGTTGGCAACCCAAACAACTGCTTCAATGCTGTTCTTGTACCATATTCGCAGGTACCTGTTTCTTGATTTCCCAGGTGAGAAGAAGCCTAGTTCAAAGGTTTCTAATGCAGAAACCAGTGTCTCACCATCACTAACCGACCCTTCTACCGCTAAAACATCGGCTTCATCGGACAATTCCAAGTGAGAAAAAAACGACTAATAAAAAGCACATCAAAGTGAAAATAGAACCCCCTCTCCATGTTAAAACTCGACCTTTCTGCTAAACAAGTTCCCTCCTTGCCTGTATAAACTTCTACTTATTTAGAGTTTCATGGTAATTCTCATTCTTAATGCATGACAGATAAATGATGCCTTGACTTCCAAGTCTTCTATGAACAGCAACTTATGTAGTTATCAAATAGGGATGTCAATGTAAATCAGCATGGATTTGGTTCTTACTTGGAAAAGTCTGATGAGAAAAAGAAATGTGAGAAGATGACTTTAATTTCTTTGAAATTTATTTTGAAGTGAGCATTTCAGTCTCAGTTTCTCTCCGTTTCCAGTTGCACATGTTTTCCAACAAGACCACCAGCATGAATGAACATAAGATCCATGCTAGTGATTTGCACAGAAATGGATCGCGGTGGACCGGCGGGGCAGTCCCCCTGAAAATTTAAAAGGTTTAAGGGTTATTTTTGTCCATATAGTAGACTCAATTTATGATTTTCGTCTATATAATATTTTCACATTAATCTAGTCCTCAAAATTATTTAATTATATCATCTTCTACCCTACACCATACACTCTAACCCCCGACTTCTGAAACCTAAACCTTAAACCATAAACAATAGTAAAAATTTTAAACATTCATACAATTGAACAACTTCGAGAGCTAAATTGATGTGATACTACTATAGTGACGAAAATGATAAATTGAGTTTACTACAGGGACAAAACTGACTCTTAAGTCAATTTAAAATTATCATATATTTTAATTTTTTAATGTATTTTCTATTAAAAATCTATTTTCTCCCCCTAAAATTTTATAATTTTTTTTCTTTCAAAAACTTTAAAAATTCACCGGTAACATAAAATCTTGCGTCGTCCCTGAATTTGCTTGAAGTTGTTATTAGGGTGACTATTCAATCAAGTCGAGTCAAAAATTTCGAGTTAATAGAATTAACAATTATAGTTTTAGAAATTGGAACTTTTTCGGTTTGAATTAAATTTATGAAATTCAAGTAGAGTCGAATTGTACAAGTTTCTAAATTTAATTATAAATATTTATAATCATGGTACTAATTGATTCCAATTCAAAATACTTTCCATAATCATAAACACTATACATGTATATTTCTTTATACGTAACATACATATATCATGCAAATTTAAAAAACTCAACTCGAACTTTAGAAAACCAATCCACTAATTAATAAAAATTTCAAGTCATTCAAGTCCTATTTTGTAACTCAAATTTTATTTAAAATTCTTTCAAGTCAAGTTTATGAAATTACGAGTCAAGTCAATTCAATATTTTTAACATCAAATAGAGTAAAAAATTTCAATTTTTTTCGAATCGGATCGAGATTCACTCCTCTAGCTGCCATGAAACCAAAGAAAAGAAAAATAATATTTTTTTCATCTTTCCACTCTATCAAGCAAAGGCTTCGAGTTAGCCTAGTTGGTTCATACAGCCACCTATATCTTCTACACTCAAATGACAATGTAATTTGCATACACACACATCAAAATAAATAAAAAATAAAAATTATTCCGGATTTATACATAAAAAATGCCCTTGAATTCAAGGTGAAGCTCATGAATTTTTTCAAGTTTGTTTTTGTTCCTGGACAATGGCATCAATGCAAAAACATAACAGCTCATAAAACTGAATGCAAAATGTTGGCACAGGGATTATCCTATAGTATATCGTCGCGGTGCAGTAAATCATGATCTCGGGTGCCATAAAAGGAAATCTAGAACCTCAACGATCATGCGAAAACATCACCAATAAAAAAAAGTTCAACAAAACGGAGACGAAAGTAGAAAGAGTGAATCCTAGGATCCATTTTAATATAATGCTTCATACGGGCTAATCGCGAGAGACTCATAGCCTTCTCTGCTATCTACAACATAAGAACAGCAAGATGGGGATCATAAACAAGTTATGAAAGACTGGAGAATTTGAATTAATGAAGACATTTGCAACACCAAGATACGAACCTGCTACTGATAAGGCAAAGCTGCAATTACTATGGACTTGCTAAGAATCTGCCATATAACAATCATCAAACACTAATGTTAATTTGCAAGATTTGGTAAGTGAGTTCAAGAATTCAGCTACTCAAACAAATTTCATAAATGAAACAAAATTCATGCAAAAAACTGAAGATGCTTTTGCTACCATATGTTATGAATTTCATAACAGGCAATCTCAGGTTTATTAATTCAAAATGTTTCTGTTTGGTAATGATGCAGATAGATCTCTTTCTTCGCACGTCTTCTTACGCTTTCCGCTGTGCTTATTTCACAAGCAATAGCCTAAATAAACAGGGAGAGGAAATGGGAATGATCAATTTGATGTATAAAACAAAATCCTCCAAACTGCAACAGCCTTTCTCGAATCTAAGCATAGATTTAAGCAGGCAAATAGTTATCTTTTCTGTCCCAATTAACTTATGAAACCGGATTAGTCCAAATATTCCACAGCCTATCAGCTCTAGCAGACCAAACATCCTACTAGTTATGTTCTAAAGCAACATATACATAGAAGCATGTTCTAACAAACATTTAATTGACACATCTCTTTCTGAAAGTTTCAGAACATTATAGAGCACCCTGAAGCGATTTATCTTCCGATATTCTCCCAGTTGAAGTAACTATGACTGATAAACTACCTGCATTCCTATACAAATAGTTTCCAATAGCCCTTTCAATCTCCAACCAATCATCCCAATTCTCAAAAGCTAGAAATATTCCAACTCCTCTAATCATCAAATTGCTTTGTTTTAAGTGGACAAACAACCGCTCAAGACATCTTTCTAATACAATTTGAACTTCCCAGTCTATGCAGCATCTAGAAACTGTACATCACATATTCATACTTCGTTTGCATAGATTCAACAGTTAAACAAATAGTAGCAAACAGCTAATCCAAATGTCTTTATCACATTTATGCAACACTCGCCACACATACAACCAATCAAGCTGCAACGTCTTTTATAAGTGTACCTTTTAACATCAAACACACCATGTTACCATGTTACGACAAATCATCCTCACTATACTATCACTCCATTGTACATAACTTGTCCACACATCAATCATCTCCCAAACTTAACAACATAACATCCATAAAAGGCTCAAGGCAGGGAAAACTATTCCCATCAAACATTTAGAGATTAGTTACTAAATGTACATGGCACCATTTTCTACACATATCTTATGATATTTATGAATTCATCACTCGTTATTTTATACCATGATAGAAGCGACATACATGATCAAAACACACATCAAAAGTAGTTCTTTTGTTCATCACCCATGCACTTTTCAATTAACAAATCCTTACTTCTAACTCAAGAGATGAAACAAATCCTACCTTACTTTACTATCTAATAGTATGAAGTAGATGAAACAATATGTGATCTAATAGAACAAGAAATTAAACCTTTGCAAACTCCGTGGAATGAACCAATATATATCATATTCTGCAACCAGGCCCTATTTTCCTTCTAACTCAACATAAACTGCACTTTGAATAACGAAAAGCCGAAACATATTAAAACATTCCCAATAAGTAGTCATCTACACAAAGATACTATTATGCCCAACTGATACCAAGAACAACTAGTAATTAATACCAAAAAAGACCAACCTTCGCCGACATAAATAATTGAACATCCATAACAACTATGGTATTTCTTGCCATGTGTAGTAACTGGCAAGCTATATAGATCAGCATTATACTGCTTTGCCTTAATCATCATCTAACACAACAACAACAAAAAAACACCAGCAAAGAAGCCAAATTTTCAGTCATTCAAATCCACAGAGACACATCATATCGGATAGGATATACTGATCATATGACACAACATTCCTACTATCCTAATTATCAGTAAATTATATATAAACATATCAGCAATTAAAAAATAAAATTACTTATGCCATCCAAATTAAGCATTGAAACAAATACAAAGACCCCAAATTCCGAATCAAACTCAAACAACCAAATATGAACCCGAAAAGCATTAACTTTTGCCACCTTTTCCGTCCATCTTGACCTCCTTGGTTGTTGCAGAGGGCTGACCATTCCCGCCATCTTTCTCATCAGGATACCTAATAACAACAACAGGGCAAACACAATGATGCACACAATAATCAGTAACACTTCCCAATCTCCCATCATTCCCTCTTATCTCAGCTCCATACCCTCTGCTCCCCATTATAACAGCACTCAAACCCAACCTCTCCAGCTCAAGACACAATCTTTCCCTCATATCATGATCCTTCACTATGTGAATCTTAAAGGGAATCCCAGCTTCCTTCAACGGTTTGGCCAAATCCGCCGCCTTGGAAGCCGTGAAGGCATCGAAATCGTCCTCCAGTTGCTTCTGGGTCTCCGGCGTTTGCGGGCTTTGCTGGGTTTGGGGAACCGGGCCCCAATCAGCTCCGTAGAGCACAGACGTTGGTGACACGTGCAGGAGGATGACAGCATCGCCAGGTCGGAGGTAGTTTTGGACGGTCCAACGAACGGAAAATGCCGATTCCTCGGAGAGATCGACGGCCACGCCGATCTTACGGCGCGCACCGGTGACGGGGGTGGGAGAGGAGGCGGCGGAGGACGAGTAGTGCGGGGAGGACGGGAGGTGGATCTTGATCGATGGCAACTTAGGGTCACTGTTGTTATCAGAGCTCATTTTCTTTCCTTTATTTGGGCTTTCCATTTTCTTTTTTCCTTTCCTGAATTTGTTTTTTTCTTCAGAAAGTGACAGAACTATTTTAATGCTCAGAGTTTGTTAAGAAAATTTGTTTTTAATAAAATAAAACGATTAAAAGAATTAATTTTTATTAATTACATTTTACTTATTTATTATCATTATATTTATTTATAAAATTTAAAAAATTTAATTTTACGTGAGATAGAAAAAAGAAGCGGTAATAATTTACATATTATTCTTTTGTCAAGTATAGGTGGATATGTCCCTTACACGTGCTACTAATGTCGACGGCGGCCGATTGGTCCATGGTTGTGATTAAGAACGGGCACAGGATCAGAATTCAACTGATTTTGATTTGATCCGATTTAATTAATTTATGTTTTTTCTTAAATTATGTTCGAGTCAAGTTCGATTGGGTTTTTTAGAAATATATTTAATTATAAAATAAGTGTTCAATCGCTTTTTACGAATAAGTGTCTAAATTATTTTTAAACGATCCTCGTGTCTAATGTTATCGCAGCTTATGCCATCAACGACGTTAATTTCACCCATTAAATGGCACGTGTCACAATCTAATAATCTAATAATTTTTTTTTTTAAATATTATTATATTTATTAAAAACACATATTTCTCTTAAATTATAAATCTTAAAATCCCTAAATCCTAACCCTAACCCACTAACATCACCCTTTCTGAACACGACCACCATCGTCGACGTAATCTCTGTCATCCTCCTAGTCATACGCCGTTGTGGTAGCCGCCGATTGATTGTCGAAATCACATGGGATCGCAATTTTCATCCTAGGAATCACAGGGTATAAAACATTGATCGGTCATCGATCAGTCACGATTCCATAGGAGTTTTGGTCGTCGGGGGAGGTGCGCTTGGTGGAGCTTTGTCGACGACAAAGGGTGGCGGACGGTATGAGTTTAGGGGTTACGTTAATAACGCTAGGTACATAGATCATTCAAAAAATAGTTTAGCCACCTACTTGTGAAAAGCGTTATAGTTTGAACACTTAATTTTTAATTAAACCTAGAGAATATACTCGGGTTGGATTCGGGTTCAGATTTAGGATAAAAAAAACTCAGTCTTATCCGACCCAAAAAATGATATAAATTTATTTTATATATTTAGAGATGATTATAATAATAATCATCTATATATTTTTTTTTTAATTAGATCCCTATTATTATTGAATAAAATAATAATTTTTATAAATATATTTATTTTTGTTCGAGTCGAATTTAAGTTTTATATAAAAAAACAGGTCAAATTTGAGTCGGATGAAGTTACTACTAAATACGGGTCAAATCGAATTTCGGATGAAACGTATATATATTTTCGGATCTAATCGAATTAATCGAAACCCGATCTAACATGATCATGCCATTCCTAGTCGTGGTTGAGTTTGAATGAGAAGCCTCTAATATTTGAGGAGGACGGAGCAAGTTACTATTTCAAATCAGAATTCCAGATTTCCGAAAGATCGGTATATGGGGCATGGCTGGTATAGGCAAAACGACTCTTGCCGATGCGATTTTCAACCGTGTTTCAAATGGTTTCAAAAGCTCCTGCTTTCTTCGAACCGTGAGAGAATCAGAAGAACGTGGAACATTACTCGAATCTCGACAGAAATTTCTTTCAACCATATCAGAAGATGTGGATTTAAATGTCTCAGCTCCAACAATTGGGGAAGGCTTTCTTAAGGACAGGCTTTCCAGGAAGAAGGTTCAGGTAGTTTGTGATGACGTGACAAATTCAAGCCAACTGGAGCTTTTGTTCCGCGGAATCGATCGGTTCGGCCCTGGAAGTCGAGTCATCGTCACAACTAGAGATAAGCAAGTGCTTATCCAGAATGACATTGATCTCATTTATGAAGTGGAGGAACTAGATGAAGATGAATCTGTTCGGCTCTTCTGTCAACGTGCTTTCAAAAGCAATAACCCCAATGAGTATCAGTTGGAGCTATAAGAAGGTTTCAAGTACTTCTAATGGAAACCCTTAGCTATAAAAGTTATCGGATCCTCTCTTTATGGCAAGAACAAAAGCTACCAGGGAAGCGCAGTAACGAAACTAAACCAGATTCCCAATCCAGACATTCATAAACTGTTGAGAAGCAGTTTTGATGGATTAGATTCAGAAGAGAAAGACATGTTTCTTGACATAGCTTGTTTCTATAAAGGGGAGCATCGATACTTTGTAACAAGGATTATGGACGCTTGTTATTTCTCTTCACATTCTGGAATCGATGATCTCATCGATAAATCTCTGATATCTGCTTCAAAAAATAAGATAGCAATGCACGATCTATTGGAACAGATGGGTCGAGACATCGTTCGCAGTGTATCACCTTCAGAGCCTGGGAGACGCAGTCGGCTGTGGATTCCTGAGGACATTTATGATGTGCTAACAGAAAACTCCGTAAGGGCCTTGCTCATTTTCTTAGCTTATCTTACTACCATTCTTCATTTCTTAGAAACATATTCAAACACATACTCGAATTAGACACATGTATTATCTGACAATTAATAGTTCTTATTGACTCCTGATTCTTCTGACATGGTGCTCTTGGTTATAGGGGACTAAAACACAGGCATGCTACTTGACATGCTCATCATTCTAGAGCTGGAAATAAAAGCAGAAGCCGTTGTGAAGGTACGAAAACTTCAGTTCCTCGAATTCTACGGAACAATATCCAAAATCCTTCTTCCTCAAGGGCTTTTATCACTTCCTGATGAGCTAAGATAACTTTTCTGGAAGGGAACCCGTTGAAAACTTTACCCTCCTTGTTTGATCCAAAGAACCTGGTTGAACTTGATATGGGATATAGCCATGTCGAACTACTATGGGAAGGAAAACAGGTATTTTCTTCTTCTTTTTATACCTCGTTCTCTATGGTTTTTCGTTGATTCATGCAAACATATATGGAACTAATTTAATCTCCATTTCTTGATTTTTGCTTCATATCTGCTGCATTATTGTTCTTCAAAGTACAAGTTCATCAAAGACTATGTTCTGATGCATGCAGGATTTAGTATATTTGAAAGTGATATCTCTCTTCGGTTCTACGAACCTTGTTAGAATCCCAGACCTATCAAGCACCACAAATCTTGAATCTATAAACTTTTCAAGTTGTACAAAGTTGCTTGAGCTTCCTTCATCCCTTCAACATCTTGAGAAGCTAACTCGTTTGAATTTGAGATCGTGCGAAAACCTTAGATCTCTGCCTAGGTTGTATAAAGCAACATCCCTCACCACACTTATTCTCAGTGACTGATCGAATATCTCTAGCTTTCCAGAGGTTTCACCGAATGTAAGAGAGATGCAATTAGGAGGAACTGCAATTGAACAAGTACCTTCGTCAGTGGCGTCTCTTTGCCAACTCGTTTTGTTGTCAATGAACGATTGTGCAAGGCTGAAGAACTTACCAACTATAATTAGTAATCTAAGATCACTTGAAGCCCTTTCATTCAGGAATAAATCAAACATCACAACATTTCCAGAGATCTCAGGAAATATAAAAGAGTTGAATTTGCAAGCAACTGCGGTCAAAGAAGTTCCTTCGTGGATCGGATGTCTTTCTAGCCTTCGTGTATTGAACCTAGCGCGTTGCAGGAGGCTTAAAAGTGTCTCAACAAGTATTCAAAAATTGAAATCTCTTAAGGACTTGTGTCTTGGAGATTGCTCAAGATTGGAGATTTTCCCAGAAATCTTGGACACCATGGACGGTTTGAGAAGTCCTGATTTAATCCGAACGGATTTGAAGGAACTACCATCCTCAATGGAGAATCTTATTGGCCTTCGTTATTTGAGTTTGGAAAAGTGTCAAAACCTTGTTTGCCTTCCTGACAGCTTCTATAAATTGAAATATCTTTTGTTTCTTTATGTTAATGGCTGCACAAATCTTGTCATATGGCCAGATAACTTGTTTTCTGCTATAGGAGGAGCTTCTTCAACAAGCAGACCAGAGATACAGAAAGATCTCCATGGCCTGTCATCATTGCATGGCTTGTCAGCATTTTGAGCAAGCACTGCTTTTTAAAGATATAAACCATATGGAACCAAGATTTTTGCTTTCCTATTTACCAATTGCTTCCTTCTGGAGTTGCAGATGCTATTTGGAATATGCTGAATAATCAATCTTGTTCCTGATAACTGTAATCGAACAGGCATCCCCTCAGAGAACTAAGTTTTCAACATGCGTCCCTGGAAGCGAAATCCCAGAATGGTTCGATTTCAAAAGCTTAGGATCTTGGATAAACATCCAGTTGCCATCAGAGTGGTACTATAATAGCAGGAAAAACTTTCCAGGTTTCGTTTCCGGTGTTGTTTCATTCCAGGACTATTCTGACAAGGCATTTAACATTGGATGTGAATGTCATCTAAAATCCTGTGAAAGCCACTGTTATAATCTCATATGTTATTTCACCGTTTGGGCGTGGAAAGCACTAAGCTGATCGGTAAGGTCGGATCACTTGTTCCTCGTATATGACAATGAAGAAGTTAGGCGGTTTGTCGAAACTCAAGCATCATACAAGTGTATTTACAATGAGGCCTCGTTTAAAATCTATCCTGTTGTTTGGGATAGGAAATGGTCACAATGCTTTTCCTGCGAGGTAAAACACTGCGGAGTTCATCTGTTGTTGGCAAAGGATGATGCTGAGGTACAACCACCTAAAAGGCTCAAGTATATCAGTTGAATGAAGCCTTATCCGGCGCACCATGGAAATCGATTTTCAGCATTGGATCGATAATCGAGGGCATAGGCCCTGAACCAACAGCACAAGTAAAAATAAACTGAGCTTGCTCTGCCACTGTTGTTCTTCTACCTTTATGCACCACTGGACCCTTTATGCACCACTGGACTGACTGGAGTACCGTGGTTCACCTATTTTCTTGCAAATGATGTGCTTTACTCGCCCGAAACAAAGCTTCTGAGGACCGCGGAGCATGCTCTAAGAAGGGCTGTCCCAGCAAATACAAACAGGAAGGCTACACAGGTTTTAAACTGAACTGAATCCACAAATTTGGTATGTTTAGATGCTAATCACCCTCTTTTGACCATATGTCATTTTTCTTATAGGCTTCTTTGGAAGACCTTTCCTACTGCTAAGGATTCCACAAAGAAACCCTTAAGGGAACCATGGAGGGTAATGTCAAGAAAGCCTTAAGGACTCAATCAACACTTGATTCAAATAGACTCGACTCGAATTCTTGACGAGTCAAAGTGAACTACTTACTATTCGACTCGGAAAACTTTTCATCCACTCGGAAAATCGACCTTTCTTTGTAAGAGATTATTGTTGGTTAGACTTTTCATATGAATTGTTTCAGCCTTATAGATATACCACTTCTGGTAGAGAGATTCTAACGCCAATAAGAATGGAAATGTCATCGAGGACGAACACAAGATTTTGTCCTATGATGACGAATTTGTAAAATTTTGAAGAGAATAAAGTTAAAAATTTTAAGAGATAAAAACATATTATTAATAAAAAATATACAAAAAAATTATCTAAATTATATGAGAATTTAAAATTTTTAAAGATAAAAGACGGCATCTGTCTCGGTCTATCTCTAAATGTCATATTTGTTAAGCTAGTTGAAGGTGAAGACCTAATTGTATTGCCAAATGAGAGCTAAAGAGCTTCTTAGAAATCGGTCATCTCCATAGATTTTGAAATCTATGAAGACAAAAAAATCTAAGTTGCAGGGTCATCCTATACTATATAAATAATTACATTTAAATTTTAATAAAAATTTAAATAAATATATTTACTTGATTCGAATTTCATAAAGGGTAGAGTATGCAAATTGTCCCCGACTATAGCATACTGCTTTATTAAATCCCTTGACTATTAAAAGTTAAAAAATGACCCTCTGACTATAGAGTATTGCTTTGTTGAGTCTAATTACAAAATGACCATCCGACTATTCACTATGTTCCAAACTAATCATTTTCTGTTAAAAGTTGATGATATTCTGAGTTGTACGTTAACATGTTGACTGTGATATGATAAAATTTGTCTTTATCTGTTGAATTTGAAATGCTTTTTCTCTCATACACATTCTTATGCTCTCACTTGGAACATGTAAGCATGCTTGTATATACAAACTCCGACATTTCTATTCTTTGACGACCAAAATTATAATCCCCTTGTTTGTTTCATGTAGCAAGGGGCCATTGTGCTTGCGCTTTCATGTTGGTCGTAAACCAACACGTTATGTCCTCAGAGAATTTCGCAACAGAGGTGAATATCGTCACTGTTTTGTCCTCGGAGAAAAACCAGGGACAATTTCCTAGAAACGTTTTCCTCGTTTCTTTTTTTTCTTAAAATGACTTACGGATTCATTTTTCGTAAATCGTTTATGCTTGACTGGACCTTCGACTTTTCACATCTATCCTTTTTCCCCTCTCCTGCTTCTTTACGAGCCTTAGAATCCTCCCAATTTCTAACCCTAAACACACAGCATACTTTAAACAGCTAATAAAGCATATTTCTTTATGAGCTCGACCCTACATATCTTTCTTTTCTCCATTTTCTTCCTTTATTCATCTAATGAATGCTCAAATAATAAAAGGACTTAATTGAAAAGATGAAATTTTTACTTTCTTTTAATGAAAAACTATCAATTTTTCCCCAATTTTTACTTGATTTAATGAAAAATCAGTAAATTTTCCCCCAATTTTTTTCCATTTTTAATTCTGTTTCCAACTCTAGTTTCAACTCTTGAATTTTATTTAGTCTCAAAACTCCTTTTTTTTTTAAAATCACTTCGTTTTAGTCATCTAATTATTTTTTTAAAATCATCACTGATATTATATTTTAGTTTTATTTTGGTAAGCCAAAAAATTAACAATGATGTTGATGTATCACCATAGTAATACCATGTCATCATTGAAAAAATAAAAAACTATACGTCCGCAGTTCTGTTGATTTTTTAACAGTGGGTGATTAAACAAAATTAAAACGTAATGTTAGTGATGATTTAAGAAAAGGTAAAAAGGCATCATAGGTCCATGTATTTTTTTAAAAAAACCAATGTGGCCCTTGTATTATTTTTCTCTCAATGTGGCCCTTTGATCAATGTTTTTCATTGTTGATTGTTATGATTCTGATGTGACAATTTATGGTTCTAACGTGACAGTCCATTTGTCATATTTGAGTTACCAATTTAGCCCATTTGCATATCATCCGCCACATTATCAACCACCATGGACTGCCACATTAGTACCGTAAACTGCCACATCAACATCTTAACGATCAATGACAAAAAACATTGGTCAAAAGACCACACTAGATTTATTTTTTAAGTTAGATGGCTACATTGAGAGAAAGAAATAATGCAATGGTCACATTATTTTTTTTTAAGTATAAAGAATTCTGATGCCTCTTTGCCTTGAAAAAAAAGTTGAATGACTAAAATGGAACTAAAGTGATAGGTAGGTGACTAAATATGTAGTTTACCCTATCTAATATCATTTTACTCAACTTTCCCTCAAACGTTCAAACTTTACTATTTGGTCTTTAAAATCTTATCTGACGGACAATAAATTAAAACAATTATATTACTGGTTCTTTTATGTTTGGCTTAATTAGAACCCAAACTATACTTTTTATGTTAAATAATTACATTTATTTTATCAATTCGGATGTCTAACATTACAAACGTTAACACTTTAAGTGTCCGGGCCGTCAACAATATTGGTTTTCAAGTTTTTTATATAAAATTTTAAAAATAAAATTATATGTTTTTAAAAAAGAAAACACATAAATTTTAAAATAACCCCTAAACTTTGAAAATTTTCATTTCAACCCCTAAACCCACGCCGACCGTTACCCTTGACCGTCAAAGAAGCTCCACCCGACCTCCCTTCTCCCAACGACCAAAACCCCTATGAATTCATGATTGATTGACGACCGATCAACAAAAAATTAACATTTTAAATCTTACGAACCCTAAGAAGATCGAGATCCCACGTGGTTTCGATGGTGAATTGGCAACAACTATGACGATATATAACTAGGATGATAGAAAGGACTATGTTAACAGTGATGGATGTGGCCGGAGAGGGCGACGACGTCATATTAAAATTAGGATTTTGTAACTGTTTTATAATATAAAAAAGTTAGAGTTTTTTTAAATATAATAATATTTTTCATATTTTTAAAAAAAATTAAAATTATGGTATTATAAGACGTGTCAACGGGGAAAACTAACGCGGCCATTAAGCCTTAAAACAATTATATTACTCGGTTCTTTTATGTTTTCTCTTGCAAGTCTCCCCCTTTCTCATCTCAATTCCATAAAAAAGGAACAAAATCAAACGGAGCAACGAAAGAAAAGATGTCTGATTATTTGCCTGTAGAAGTGATCATCGATATCCTCAAATGGCTCCCAGTCAAGTCCGTGGTGAAATTCAGGTCAGTTTGCAAGACATGGAACAGTCTCATTTGCGACCCATCGTTCGTTTCAGCTCATTGCCAAGCTTACCTTTCGAGACCACCAAACAACACTCCCTTACTCCTCATCATCAGCTTCTCCGTAAACGGAAAAGATAAGTATTCTTTACACTATGATAATGATGTGTTTGATGAGTTGAAGAAGCTTCAATACCCTGTCTTTGACAGTATTTGGTCTCCTATGTATTTTGGTTCTTGCAATGGGTTGGTTTGTCTTGGTTCTTATGCCCACAATCCTATGCGTTTTGTTTTCTGGAACCCTTCTATTCAAAAGTACATTTCTTTGCCCCAGCCTGACATTTGCTGCATCGATTATGCCTCGCGTTTAAATTCTGCGTTTGGGTTTGGGTTTGGGTTTGATTCGAGAACCAATGATTACAAGATACTTACTGTTAGGTTTGACAAGGCTAATCATTTGATTCAACCTAGTCTGTTTTCACTGAGGGAAAATTGTTGGACAATGGTTGTTGCCATTGCTCCCAATTATGAATTTGATGATGAGACTTCGATGACATTTGTTAATGGAGCTGTTCATTGGTTAGGATATCAGAGAAGAAACAGCGATGGGTTCAAATTCAATTATACAATTTTAGGGTTTGATTTGAGTGCTGAGGAGTTTTTTGAGATAAGTTTTCCCGAGAGTTTTACTTGTTTGCCTGATATGGAATTGTCAACTATGAAATATGGGCAATCTTCCATTGCAGTGGTTAAATTAGGTTGGGAAGATGGTGAGTTGCTTGAGATGTGGGTCATGAAGGAGTACGGTGTTGTTGAGTCATGGACTAAGGTGTTGGCATTATACATGGGTGATCGAAGTGAATTGTTTCCGAGGGTATTGGGGTTTCGGAACAATGGGGAAGTTTTATTGCAAGTGGATGAAGGAGAGATGGCTCCACTCGATTTGAACCGTCAGTTAATTAAGCCTCATGGAGTTAAGATCGGGGAATACTTTCTATCTGTCGAGAGTTACATGGAGAGCCTGGTGTTGCTCGACAAAGCCATCGGTGTCTGCAGTGTGAGCGATGCAAATCATGTAATAGATTCAACTGGGAGGAGAGTGAAGCGACATAGGACTGGTAAGCGCATTCACCTGTTATTTTCACAGCTGTCTAATTTTTGTAGTTTATATGAACTAGAATAAGCATAACTCTCCTCATGTTAGCTTTATTGATAAATACCTTGATGAGTGCTACTGTAAATTAACACCCTTAATCCCATATCGGGAAATTGTAAGAATGCACTAGGATACATGTGTAGTAACAATGGAAACTCAAATCGTTGGATGTGCTTGTTCTAACTTCTTATTCAGAGGTTATAGGGAAAACGTTTTGAGTATATCTGCTTGATATGTACCTTTTATTACATACATTAAAATTTGCAATCGATCTATAGTGTACTCTTAAAGATCAAAAGTACTTTTTTTATCAAGTTGTCTTTGTCTGCTTAAGTTGAATTGCTTTTCTCTCGTACACACTCTTATACGCTCACATGGCACATGTAAGCATGCTTTTATATACAAACTCCAACATTTCTATTCTTTGACGACCATTGTGCTTGTGCTTTCATGTTGGTCGTAAACCAACACGTTATATTTCTTTTCAATGCGAATTCCTGCAATGCTATATTCTCTTCATTATTTCAATGACCCTTTTTTTCTGAGTTCTTGCAGGACCCTAAGGAACCATGCAAATATACGGCCGTTGGAGAATATGTCTACCTTTTCGTTGAGCAGAGCTTCCGTATAGTCTTTTTTCTCTGTCTTGCACTGCATTTTTTTCTTCTTTTAGTTAGATTAGACTCATCACTCTCGGGTGTACCGAGTCATCCTTAGGCAGTTTTCGTATTGGCATCCACTTGAAGTGCGCTTATGGTCTTGTCAATCTTGAACAGCCTCTTTGAAGCACTTTTAGCTTCAAAGAAGACCGTAGGTTGAAGGGATTGTAGAAGCTACCTCCTCGTAAAGGTGATTACGTGAACCACCGAGCTAAGCCTCAGTTCAGGGGTAATGTCTTAACTGAATGGAACAAGAATATAGGCTAGATGTTGCAATGCATGCAGGGTTGATAACCAGTAGCAATGATAAGTCGTAAAACGAATCTGGTTCATTGTGGCACCATGACTGTTTATGATGTTTTGGTACTTTATTTTTGAATTGGTTGTGGATTGAAGGAAATTGATAACCTTAATTTAATTGCTTGCATGAGAAGCTAATCTTGCATACACCTTTGGTTTTGAAGGAAATTGTTAATAGTTGTTTTAACTTTGGTCTTGTGTAGTACTTAAAATGTTATTTGGCATTCAGTAAAATTAACCAATTGCAATTGTTATCCAGTTCTTTTTTGTTTACTTTGGGTAGTTCTGCGGTACAACCTAAAATTTAAGATTAAAAAACAACGGAAATTTAGTGCGATCGAAAATATTATAACAAATGTGTAACGTTTTAGGTTGGACAAAACTTAAGGGCTATTTGTTTAGCTCTGAATGGAATCATTCAGCGCTGAATGTTGAACCGTTCAACATTCAGACTGTTTGTTTCTCACCTTTGAATGATTCAATGCTGACTGATTCAGTAAAACAGTGCTGAATGATTCAACACAAAAGTACATTCTGAATGATTCAGAGCCATTATTAAATAGAATGTCACATTCAGAACTAATTCATACAGAGCATTTGAATCATTCAGCGCTTAATCATTCTGAAGTAAACAAACAACCCCTTAAAGTATTAGTTTCTTCATAATATTTTTTTATTGTAACATAAAATATTATGTTTTCAGGTAAAGTAGACATGCAGTCCTCTAACTATAGGGTGATGTTTTGTTGAGTCATCCGACTATTAAAAGTTACAAAAAGGTCATTCGACTATAATACATTACTTTGTTGAGTTTCTCGACTATTAAAAGTTACAAAATTGTCATTGATTATTTATATGTTCCAAACTTGTTCTTTTTAGCTAAAAGTTGACGACAATCTGAGCTGAACGTTAACCTGTTGACTGTGATATGATAAAATTTTATCCTAGAATCTCAAATGACTGTCATATCTCAGCCATCATGTTAACATTCAGATCAGACGACTACCAATTTTTAACGAAAATGGACGAGTTTGGAATATATAAATAGTCAAGTGACCATTTTGTTACTTTTAATAATAGATTGACTCAATAAAGCAACAATTTATAGTCAGAATATCATTTTATAACTTTTAATAGTTAAGATATTTAATAAAGTAATGATGTATAGCCGGAGGATCATTTGTGTACTTTAACATATATTTTTATATGTTGTAGCATTTATTTTTATTATTTAATATAAAAATAATTTAAAATACAAAATAAAAACATAAAGTGATCGAGGATGAGCGATAATTATTTTAAGTCTTCTAAAATTTAATAATAATAAAATATTATGTTATTATTCATTTTAAATTATAATAAAAATGCTACATCATATAAAAATAATAATAAAACAATCTAGAGTAATCAAAACGGGAACAATTCCCAAATTTGGTGAGTAAGTTAGAAAAACTAAAAGCAATTCCCAAATTTGGTGAGTAAGTTAGAAAAACTAAAAGTATAGTGAATAAATTAGAAAGAGAGTAAAATTCAGTGAGAAACGATGTAGTTTACTCTTAATATTTTCGGTCTAGTTTAATTTCCATTGCAGTACTTAAGAAAGATTGGGGTGGGTTGCATGAGCTGTGGCTCATGGACGAGTACGGTGTGATTGAACCATGGACTAAGGTGTTGGCAGTCCGGTCAATGTGGTTAATCAAAGTAGATTGCATTCCAGTGTATTGGGGTTTTGTAACAATGGGGAAGTTTACTGCAAACGAATGCCAGAAACATGACTTCACCCGATCTGAACTGTCAGCTAATTGAGCCTCATGGAGCCAAGGTCGGGGAGAGCCTGGTGTTGCTGGACAAAGGGGCCGATGTCCGCAGTGTGAGCTACGCGAATCATGCTATAGATTCAAATGTTTCCGATGAACCAAGTGGGGGAGAGTGAAGCAATATAGGACTGGTTCACCAAAACTCCGATCCTAAACCGACTCTTTGTCATCCCTAAGGAACCATGCAAATATATGGGCCGTTGGAGCATATGTCTGCCTTTTCGTTAAGGAGCAGAGCTTCCATATAGTTCTTTTTTCTTTTAGTTAGAATAGACCAAAATGATAGTTAGGTGACTAAATACACAGTTTACCATATTTAATATCATTTTACTCAACTTTCTAAAAATTATTATTTTGCGCTTCAAACTTTTAAACTTTACTATCTGGTTCTAAATCGATTTGGTCCTTAGAATCTTATCTGGGGACACTAAAATAAAGCAATTATTACTCGGTCCTTCTCTGTTTTCTCCTTCAAGTCTCCCCCTTTCTCCTCTCAATTTCGTCAAAAAAGGAACAAAATCAAACGGAGCGTACAAAAGAAAATATGTCTGATTATTTGCCTACAGAAGTGATCATCGATATCTTCAAAAGACTTCCAGTAAAATCGGTGGTGAAATGCAGGTCAGTTTGCAAGAGCTGGAACAGTATCATTTGCGACCCATCGTTCATTTCAACTCATTTCCAAGCTTCCCTTTCGATACCGTTCAACAACACACCCTTTCTCCTCATCAGGTGCTTGAAAAATGGCAAAGAAAACTATTCTTTACACTACGATAATTATGGGTTTGATGAGTTCAAGCAGCTTCAATGCCCTGCCTTTGAGTGTGTGTCGCATTCTATGTATTTGGGTTGTTGCAATGGGTTGATTTGTCTTGGTTCTGATTCCCATGGTGATATGGATTTTGTTTTCTGGAACCCTTCGATTCGAAAGTACGTTTCTTTGCCGCAGCCTACCATTGGCTGCATCAATTATGTTTCGCCTTTAAATTCTGCGTTCGGATTTGGGTTTGATTCGAGAACCAATGATTACAAGCTAATTATTGTTGGGGTTTACAAGGGTGATATTTTGTTTTCACTGAATGAAAATTGTTGGAAAAGGGTTGCTGCCATTTCTCCCAATTATGCTGTTTCAAATGATACTTCACCGATTTTCGTTCATGGGGCTGTTCATTGGTTAGGATATCAGTGTCAGAGAAGAAACAATCTTAGGTTCACTAATAAGATTTTGGGGTTTGATTTGAGTGCTGAGGACTTTTTTGAGATAAGTTTGCCTGAGAGCTTAATTGGTTGTTTTTATAAGGATTTGTCAATTATGAAATATAGGGAATCTTCCATTGCAGTGCTTAGTAAAGATTTGGTAGATGGTAAGTTGCATGAGTTGTGGGTCATGAAGGAGTACGGTGTGGTTGAATCATGGACTAAGGTGCTGACATACCATGTGGTTAATCAAAGTAGAGAGTATCGTGGCATATTGGGGTTTCGGAACAACGGGGAAGTTTTATTGCAAGTGGGTGATGGAGAGATGGCTTCACTCGATTTGAACTCTCAGCTAACTGAGCTTCACAGAGTTAAGATCAGGACAGGGTTACTATCTGTTGGTAGTTACGTGGAGAGCCTCATGTTGCTAGACAAAGCAGTTGATGTGCGCAATGCGAGCGACGTGAATCATGCTATATATTCAAGTGGTTCTGTTGAATCAAGTGGGGGGAGAGTGAAGCGACATAGGACCGGTAAGTGTATTCACCTGTTATTTTCACAGCTGCCTAATTTTTGCAGTTTACATGGACTTGTATAAGCATTTAGCTTAATTCAATACATACATCGATATGAATGATTAACATTGAAATTGAATGATACTGTAAATTAACACCCTTAACCTCACATTGGGAAACTGTAAGAATGGATAAATGTGTAGGAACAACGGAAACTCGAATCATTGGATCTGCTTGTTCTAACTCCTTATTCAGAGGTTATAGATATGTAGCTTTATTACGTACATTAAGGTCTGCAATCGATCTGTAATGCACTCTTAATGATCAGAAGTACTTTTTTTCATCAATTTTCCTTTGTCTGCTTAAGTTGAAATGCTTTTACTCTCATGCACACCCTTATGCACTCTCATGGCACATGTGAGCAAGCTCGTTTATACGAACTCCGACATTTCTATACTTTGAAGACCAAAATTATAATCCCCTTGTTTGTTTCATGGCAAGGGCCATTTAGGGCTGAGCAACGAAACCGAGAAAACCGATAGTTGTGCTTGTGCTTTCATGTTAGTCGTAAACCAACACTTTTTTCCCCTGAATGCCGATTCCTGCAATGCTATATTCTGTTTTCATTATTTCAACGACACTATTATTTTGCAGGACCCTAAGGAACCATGCAAATATATGGGCCATTATGTTTGAAGCTTGGATGCTTGATTTCATATAATGTGCATCATGACTCTGTTTATGATGTTTCGGTGCTTTGTTTCTACTGGTTGAGGATTGAAGGAAATTGATAATCTTTTGCCTGAATGTTTCTGTTAATCTTACATACATCTTTGGTATTGAAGTTAGGTGGCTGATGCTGTTGATTTGACTGTGCCATCGATAAAGTGTTACTTAGGGATGTAAATGAGACGGGACAGATCGTGAGCTACTCGAGATTGATTCAGTCAAAACTCGATAAATACTCGACTCGAATGGACTTACTTAAGCTCGAGCTCGACTCGAGTTCTTAACGAGCCAAAATAGGTTACTTGATACACGATTCAAAAAGTTTGAGTAACTCAAAAATATAATATATTAATATTTTAATTAAAAAAATTAAATTATTAATAATATTAACATTTATACATTGAATTTTTTTAATGTAATATAATGTTTTCATGTATGTAAGATTCAAGTTTGAGTTTGAGTTTTAGACTTTAATCGAGTTAAGTTCAAGATTTTTTTTTTCAAGTCGAGCTTGAAAATTTAGGCTTACGAATTTTCGAATCGAGTTGAGCTTAGTAACACTTGAGCTTTTTTATTTTTAAATAAGAATCTATGTCTTTGTGACATTCTTTTCTCTACTCTTGTAACACGTTTTTTCTCTGCTACTTGGGCACATTCCTTATGGTTTTCAGTAAGTTTTTCGCATGTTTCTGCTGTCGTGTTGGTACTTCTACAAAATTACTCACGACATTTGTTTTCTGATAGAGTTGTCGATGGTCACGTATTAGCAGATCACTTCTTTTGTAAATGGTTATTTGCCAATATAATCAAAATTGTGTAACGAAACAGACTGTCAAATTGTTTGATTCGCTCACATCTTCTTTATCACATCGTAAACAGTCTTGTTTGTCATAGACAATGAGTCTTATGAAGGTTACGGATTATTTTGATATTTGAAAGGTTTTAATATCTCCGTATCTTTGAGTTTAATATTTTTATTTTATGTATGAGTTTTAATCTCTCCATATCTTCGATTTTCTCTCTGGATGCCTTGTAATTTTAATTCTTTTATTTTTATTAATGGAATTCAGATGCCATTATTAAAAAAAGACTACCTCTATAATTATATTTTCTATTCGCCATATTTTTTTTTTTTAAACTAGAACCTGAAAATTTTAGATTCGGAAGAAAAACAATTCATCAAAAAGGAACAAAATCAAAAGAAGAGATGCCTGATTATTTGCTTGCAGAAGTGATCATCGATATCCTCAAACGGCTCCCAGTAGAATCCCTGGTGAAATTCAGGTCAGTTTGCAAGACCCGGAACAGTCTCATTTGCGACCCATCGTTCGTTTCAGCTCATTGCCAAGCTTCCCTCTCGAGACCGCCCAACAACACTCCCTCGCTCCTCATCAGCTGCTCCAGAAACGGCAAAGATAACTATTGTTTACACCATGATAATGATGGGTTTGATGAGTTCAAGGAGGTTCAGTTCCATATCTTTCAGAGGATGTTGGTTCTTGCAATGGGTTGATTTGTCTTTCATGGCCATGGAATTATGATGCTGTGTATTTTGTTTTGTGGAACCCTTCGATTCAAAAGTACGTTTCTTGCCTGGCATTGTCTCTGTTTGGAATTTAAAACATGGGCTTGGCTTTGAAATTATTGTTGGTGTCGATCATTGGCGGATTCATAAATTTAAGAATAAGGGTCTAAAATTTTAATTTTCTTTTCTTAAAAATAATGAGTATGCAAAAATTATAATTTTTTTTCTCCTTAACACATTAAGCTAAATTTAATCACTTTTTCAAAATAATTAGGATGCACTTGACCCTTACGGGGCTTAGTGCATACGCCATTGGTGTCGACAATGTTAATTATTGCTTGTTTTCCCTGAATGAAAATTGTTGAAGGGTTGTAAATGAGAGACAAGATAATTGTGAGCTATTTGAGATTAACTCGGTTTAAGTTCGATAACTACTCAACTCGAGATCGATTCGAGTTCTTAATGAGTCAAAACGAGTTACTTAATTCGAAAAGCACGTGACCAACTCAAAAATATAATATATTAAGATTTTACTTTTGTTAAATAAATTATTAATATTATTAACATTTATATGTTCTTTTTAGAAAAATTTAATATAAGATTTTCATGTATTTGACATTCATGTTTGAGTTTGAGTTTTAGGTTTCTATCAAGTTAAATTTAAGTTTTTTTTTATTTCGAGTCTTTTCGAGCTTTTATGAGCTTTAATTCAAGATTTCGAGTTTAAGTAGAGCTTGAAAATTTTAGGTTATCAATTTTTTGAGTGGATTCAAACTTCATGTTACAGTTTTCGAGTCGAGTTGAAGTCAACAATACTCGAATTTGACTCAGCTTATTTACGCCCCTAACCCTAACACTTGTATTTTCCGCCTATCTAATGGGTCAAAGAAAACCTTAACAACCCATCTCCATAAAATTCCAAACAAGCCCACCCAAGATTCAAGTTTTATGTAGGGTTTATCAAAGCCGAAATCAAAACAAAAACTCACTTTGAATTCCGTCTTTGCTAAAATCCAATGGGGAAGAAACGGAAGCACAGCGAAACCCAGGCAATTGAACCGAAAAAGAAAGATGAAGGAGCACCCGAGAGACCAAAAAGGACGCTCATGGGTTGGAAAGACAAGAAAGAAGTTCATAAACAACCCGATTCCAATCCCGAGTCCAATCCCCAAGTTTTTAGAAACAAAGAGAAAGTTATGGTGACTTGTTCACGCCGCATCAATTACAGGTTGGTTCGAAGAAGAAGAAAAAATATGTTATCTTTCCTTTGCATGAATGCTTGGTTGCTTTTGTTTTTGATTTGGGTTTAAAGTTTTCGTTGTTTACTGCTCTGGGTTTCGCAGGTACAGGCATTTGATGTTGAATTTGGTTTCACTTTTGCCTCATTGTAAGAAGGATAACAAGGTTGAATCAAAGAGTAGTAAAGGGTCTACCTTGAATGAGCTTATTGAGTTGAGGGGTTGTTCTTCTGCTCTGTTTTTCGAGGTAAATATTTTAGCTTTGTTGTTTATTTTGTGCACTTTCAATGATAAATATGGTGCTTGATGAGCTTCCAAAGTTTGATTGACTAAAATTGTATAGAATTATGTAAACTTTGAGGATGATAGTAACTTTAAGTTTTTTTTAATGCTAAAATTTAGGTGGTTTTACCTTGCTTCACTTTGGAATTTAATGCTCGAGATGTTCAATGTTTATATACTTTTTTTTCGTTTTTTCCAGTGTAGGAAAAATCGGGATCTTTACATGTGGATGGCAAGCTGTCCCAATGGTCCATCTGTGAAATTTTTGGTTAATGCTGGTAATGTTTCTCCTTGAATCTCTTAGAATTCGTTATTATGATTTCTTGATGCTGTTAAGTTAGTAATAGTATCAAGGTATGATGATTTTTCTTGTTTCTTGTGGCTTAATGAAAAGTTTGTTTTGTTCGATGCAGTTCACACTATGGAAGAACTGAAGCTCACTGGAAATCATTTGAAAGGTTCACGCCCTTTGATGACGTTCTCGAGCAATTTTGAAAAAGATGCTCATTGGAAGCTTCTGAAGGAGATGATCATGCAGGTATCTTGATGTGGTTTTCCTATTTTTAGAAAACGCTCTTTTTCTGTTTGTATTTCTCACACATAGATGAAACATGTACTTCCCACTCTTTGAATGAACAAATTTGAGTTTTCTCCGACATCTTTCAACATGTAGCGAAAACGATAGACATGTTTATAATACAATTTTACACCGACTATTCCTCTGATCTTTCATGCATCCTATGAATGCTTTTGCTTTTTGATTTGTGAAACAATATGAATGTTGTTTGATTTAACAGCTTGTTAAGATGATTCTCTCTTGTTTTCTATCAAGCCACCGATTCCGTGATTTTTTCACTTAAATACACTGTGGGGTGAAGATGTGATTGTTCCATGACACTTTCCTTTTTATTGTTTTCTGGCAGATATTTGGAACTCCGAAGGAGCACAGGAAATCTAAACCTTATCATGATCACGTCTTTGTTTTCTCCATCGTTGATGACCACATATGGTTCCGCAATTATCAGGTCAGTGAACCATACTACATTTATGGCACAAGTATGGAACACGGATTAAATTCTTAATAGTAGTATGAGGTGTTCTATCTGAGTTTATCTTAAAACTGTTGTTTCGTAATGCAGATATCTGTTCCTCACAATGAATCAGAGAAAATGGTCCGAGGGGGACTCGATAAAATGACCCTTGTTGAGGTACGAACTGATATTCGCTTTCTTATGTTCATATTATATATATTATGATTTTCTAGTAATTTAATGCTAGATACTGGCTCTGTATAGGTTGGTCCCAGATTTTGCTTGAATCCGATCAAGATATTTGCTGGTAGCTTCGGAGGCCCAACACTATACGAGAATCCTTTCTATGTCTCGCCAAACCAGGTAAGAGGATTATCCTACGATACCTCTGTCCTAATATATGTTGAACGGAAGGTCGGCATAGGATTAGAACCTCGATTCGTTTTTCTCTACGGATTTTAATATTTTGACACGAATTATCTTTCAGATCCGAGCATTGGAGAAAAGGAAGAAAGCTGGGAAGTATGCTAAGAAAGTCAAGGCCAAGACAAGGCGAAAAATGCATGAACAATCTAATCCATTGGAGCCTGATGAATTCGCAGATATGTGGAAGGAATGATATCAAATACAAACCAGAATGAATTATTTTTCACTTGGCCTGTGTCGTATCTAAAGCGAACCGATGAGTTTTGGTCAGTTACTTCCTCTGCAAGTTCTAATTTTGTACTATGTTACATCGACGGATTGGTTAAAATACAAAATCAAAATCATGTGTTTGCAGTTGCATCTGCATTATCCTTTTAAGTTCATCGTTCGTGAAACGCGCAACTCTCGGTTCAACTCGGAATCGCCGATAGAATGGTGTACTTACCATGGACACAAGCTAAAGATGAAACTTCAGCTCTCGATTGCATGGACCAAACGTATACAGGAATAGTTAGTAGATGACAATCACTTAAAGATGTTTCAGTTCTCTTGGTGAAAACCTAACAGGGGATAACAAGTTTGCAGCACAAGTCTATAAAAGCAAAACTTAAAGATGGTTCAATTCTCCTGTCGATTTTCAAAGTGTACTTCAAGGTTAAAAGTAAACTATTTTCAGCATAAATTAAGTGATCTCGATAATAAAGAAAATGTTATTATTCATTGAGGTTTTGTGTTTGAGCACTATGAATACTTAGGGTATGAACATTCAACGTTAAATGGTTGAGAGTAATCTTTGACCTTATACTTATTCTATATTAATAAAAATAATGCAAAAGGGCCATTTTTGCCCTTATAGTATGTTCAATTTATCATTTTCACTCATCAATTTAGCTCTCGAAGTTGTTCAATTGTATCGATATTTAAAATATTTATTATTGCTTAAAGTTTTAAGTTAGGGTTTAGAGTTTGTACTTTAGAGGTTAGGGGTTGATTTAGGCTTTAGAATTAAAATAAAGGGTTTTAAGTTAGGATTATGATATAAAATGTTACAATTAAATAATTTTATGGGTTAAATTGATTTGAAAATACAATAAAAACGAAAATAATAAATTAAGTTTATCGAAAAAACGACCTTTTCGCCGAAAAAGAACTATTTCTAACGTGCAAGATGGTAGTCTAAGCTATGATATCTACTTGAAAATAAGCAAGAGAAAGTTCAATGGATTACTCTTTGTTAAAGAATAATTATACCTAGTTCATGTTGAGTAGGATTTTTGGCTCATTTAAATATTTAAATTTGACCTGAGTAATACATCTCTTTATCAGTAATCAGATCTAAACTAAATTTAAGACATTTTACTTGATCCAAAATTCGACTTGATCTTAAATCTATACTTGATTCGATTTGACACAAATACATATAAAATTTTATTTAATTATATAAAATCGGGACCTAATTAAAATAAAACATAAAAAATGATAATATTACAATTATCTATAAATATTTAAGGGTTAATTATATTATTATCTTGCCTCAAATATTTTTATATTCAATTAAATTTGATATGATCTAACCTCGTACTTTTAAAAAAATCTGATAATATATATTTTTTAAAATCCAACCTTATAGAACCAAAACCATCGAATTCAAGTTAAATGTTCATCCCTATTTATACTAATCATGCGTCCACAAGTATGCACTCGAACCAGACAGACCATCATGCGTTAGACTAGAATGTCCATTTTCAGCTTCACCAGGTTGATAGGGGTGTGCAAAATTTTCCGACCCGAATTTAAAAAAATCGGGTGATTTTCTAAATAAATTTACCCGACCCGAAATTTTTTGGGTCAGATCCGGATCATAAAATTGAAGTTTTCCGGATACCCGAGTACCCGGTTAGTTATATATATATATATATAACGGATTATTAGATTTTGTATTTCAAATTTTTAAATTTTATGTTCGGATATTAGAGTATGTAATTCGAAGTTTCAAATATTTACATTTTTACATATATTTTTTAAAATTAATAATTAAAAAAATCGGATATCAAGTACCGATTACCGAGAAATTACCGATCCAAATGTTATCGGTAATCGGGTTCCTAGATTTGCACACCCAACATAGTGGGTTCAAAGAACAAACCGTCGTGTTCATCCCTGTTGTCTTGTTAATCTTCTCCAACAATGTAGTCTTTGTCGTCATCTTTGTCGGAATTTTCTAGTTCTTTCATGTTTCAATTCATTTTAATAATTTAAATATATATTAATATTAAAATATATATTAAATTAAAATAAGTACTCCCCAAGAAAGAAAAAAAATCAAATTGAAGTCGTTAATGGAAAAAATATATATAGCAAGATAACAAATTGAACCTAAAGCCTTGCTGGAAATTACTCTTCGAGGCGCCACTGAGTATCAATCTTTCTCTCTAGAAAGAATTCCAGATTTTCGTCTTCTTCAACGCCCTGGTTCTATCTCTACTGGACTTCAACCGGTTTTATCAGTTTCTTCTCTTATTTTTTTCTGTCTGAGTTAGTTATCTAGATTTGGAAATTTAAGGTTTTCTCATTGTGCAGTGAAAAGGATTCTGGGTTTTTTTTCCCTGGGTTTGATTAAATGGAAAAAATTGAGAAAGGTGATGGCATTGAGGAGGAGGAAGAAGAAGATTCAGAGTATGTATTACTTGATCTTGATGCCGTTTCTTCTCAGATTGACATCCCTCCTAATGCACCCTATACAATCTCCGTAAGTTCTATAAATTTTCTTTTACGTTACAAATCTGTCAAATTTTAAGCAGTTGTGTGAAAATTATAATCTGAGAAGAAAGCTTGCCTTTGGGGTTTTATTTCTTGATAATCATTTATATTTGTCAATTCATTAAACCAGAGCTCTCATATACTGAATTTTAGTTTCACTGCTCAACTTTCAAGGTTGCACCTTCTCTAGGAGAAGGGATTTTTCATCTGTATATAGTGATCTTCATCTAGTTATATGGTACTACTAGCAATCCATGTACTTCCTTCAAGTATAGAAGAACATTATCTAGGCAAAATGTGTTTATGTTATGTATATGGCTTTCTTTGTGCTAGTAGCTGGATTTGATAAGGATTAGACTTGGCAATCGACATATTTGGTGTTTATGGTGTTATATATATATATTTATATCGTGTACTCATGTCATGTCCATTATGATAGGTCCCAATAAGAATTAGCCGGCTTATTGTTTTTGTTCTTTGATTGGAGCTCTGCCATGTGTAACCCCCTAGACCCGGCCTATGCGTTTCGACTAAGTCTAGTGGATCACATTATGATTATTAAAGACATTTTTCGCAACCGTTATTCCATCAATATAAAATCACATTATAAATAACATGAAATTATAAACAAATTATACTATCAAAATCCAACTCGTAAATATAGTACCAATAAATAATAATTTAATTTAAAATATGTCTTCCAATTCAAAATCACAATAAACCGAGCTGTATTAGCAAAAGAGTTATCATTATAAAATCCGATATTTTAAAATAAGGTCCATGTCACCAAAATAAAGTCAACTTGCCAGATAAAAACATTACAATCTGATTTACTTCAAGAGATATGTTGATCCTCCAAGTGCTCGAACCAAGGTATCTAACCAACAGTATCTGAAAGGGGGGAAAACATTTTCAAAAGGTGAGCTAGGCTCAGTGTGTCTGTAACACCCCAACCCATACCCGACCTGGATACGAGTCCGAGATGTCACATTGACATTTTCAAAACCTTTATTCTTGTAAAATAACTGGACATTTGAATTGATGTTAAGAAAATACAATCATGTATTATTCAATTATGTTTGGTATAAAATTTGGAGATAAAAACGTGTTTATGAACGGTGAAATACTATATGAACAGTAATACAGTAACCTGCTACAGTGATTTTCGTAAATTGTACATAACACTCGTAAAAATTTAACAGTTCATTTCTTTGCATTTGTACTTATATAAATATGTTTAGAATATTACAAAACTCGATCAGAGCATAAATACCTAATTTACCTACTTTATTTACATGCCAACCTATTTATCACATAATAATACATACTGTGTAATTTACTTCTGATCTGGTCTTTGAGCAGAGATATGTTGTTACTATGAACTTAGCTTTGATCCTTTTGCTTCTCAGTACCTACGTGTAAATCACTTACACGCTAAGTCATAGACTTAGTGAAGCAAAAACATAATAATAATGCATTTCTCATAAATATAAACATTCAATCGAGTCGCATATAATTCAGTATACATGATAACATGAGATAATACAAGTACTTTTAGTACCTTTTTATCAAATAAATACATATATCGAACCTTTCTCTACATACCATGGAACACATATACTACTTCACAACCAAACATACATAGTAACAAATCAATTTATTTATTTACTCTCTGTAAGGACCATGTATTCGCCCATGTATACTTTTGAGAACTTAAGGTATGTGAGTACATTGAGGTTGTGCACACATATGCTGTCACCACAGCTCGATCAATGTCCCGAAGGACCAGTCCATAGATTCCGAAGAACCTAGGTAAACAGTCCATATGTCCCGAAGAACATAGGTAAACAGTCCATATGTCCCGAAGAACATAGGTAAACAGTCCATATGTCCCGAAGAACATAGGTAACCCTCGACCCTTGGCATGCCAACTATACCCCTAGCTCTCATATCACATAACATGGCATTATCATTTATGACCGTTCACATTACTTATTCATATTCTTTCTCTTATAACCACATATCTTTTCTTTTCAGTCACGTATCACATGTACGTGTAATCCTTGATATCATAATCACATATTCCTTCTCTTCTATCACATATCAAATGTATGTGTAAGCACATATCTAATATCATATGTTGCATTTTCATGTAAGCATGTAAATCATGTAACATATAAACATACATCCATTTCTATGTACTAATGCACACGAGTAATCACATAACATATATAATTTACCTCTTACCATAGTACTCTATCATTGACTCATCGCAAGCCAATGTTTGATCAATCACATAAGTACAATTTAAATTGCACTCACCTTAGCCTTGCTTTGATTCGATTATAATCCTTTAATTATTCCGGAACTTGTTTAGGCTCAATATCTACATAAATATATAATTTCAAAACAACTATCAGAAGCCTAAACTTTAAACTTGATGTTAATAACTTAAACCGATTTAATGAATCAATTCTATATTTTCATTTAGGGGGAATCGATACCCCCCCAGGGAATCGATACCCCCTGTACATACTGGAATTTTTCGTTCAAGAGGGGAATCGATTCCCATTCATAGGGTATCGGTTCCCTCTACCCAGAAATTGTATTCTAAGCTCGAAAATCATCAATTTTCAACTCAAACCTTCCTATTTCACTTCCTTTAATACTCCTAACTTTAACACATACTTAAACTTATTTCTATTCCATAATCACTTCTTTAACTTCAAATCTAGTCATTCCTATGTAATCTCAAAAATTATACTAGTTTTGCAACATGTTCAAATTCCTATTCTAACACTTCCTATCCCTTAATTAACTTGATGACAAGTCAAATTCAACTTTCAATTCTCAATATAAACTTTATTTCGATATTTCATTCAAAACTCCAAATCTTTAAATCCTCATAACTCTTCATTTTGTTGTTTTAAAGCAATTAATCCTTCCTTAATCTTATTTAGCATCTAATAATCAAAACTAAACTTAAATTTCAGCACCTAATCAGTTCAAAAGAAAACTCACATTTGCTTGGCTTCACACGTGGAGAAGAGAAAATGAAGAAGAAAAGAGAGAAGAGATTTTTCTGGAAAATCTCCCATCCTTATCCATATATATATATATCATTTAATATAATTTTCAAGTCTAATGACCATTTTGCCCTTTAATTCTTTGGATAATTACTATAAACTTTTAGGAAATATTTCCAAACAAATCATTAAACTATTAAACTATTATACTTTAATCATCATATTCTGAAATTTTACAATTGTGGTCACTAACCCGTATTTTGGGATGTTACAGTGTCCCAACATTTCCATAAAATCACAATAGGTACAAATCATAGTCCAGTAATCTCACAAATTCGTAAAAGAGTTTAACTTTTTGAAAATCATAGTTTAAAACCCTTTCTGGTACACCATCAGTAGTTCCCAAAATTATTTTCCCTATAGCTTACTTTAGCACATAGCAAAAAGAAAGCCGACTTAAGGATAGGCTCTGAAGCTTGTATCCTTAAGCCAAGTCAATAAGTCCATATAGCTTACCCTAAGCACACAGCAAAGGAAAGCCGACCTAATGAAACATCTTGGGGCCCTCAAGAGTCATTAGGCCCAGTTAGCTTGATCAGAGCTATTCCATCGTAATTCAATTCCAAAATTCAATGCACCGTGACATAATTCCATAAATCCAAAAATGGTAATCATATACCATTTCAAAACAAAAATTAGATAGCAGCCATATTCCATAAATTGTCACATTAAATTGGTGCATCAATAAAACAATAACCATGAATTCGGTGTACCACATATTAAAACCAATAAAACAGTTCAGTAATAAGTAGGGAACACACCTCGACAATAGATTCAAATAACAATCTACTGATGCTGGTTTCACCACGCTCTGCTACAGTTTTCGAACGGGTGAATACTGGCACACGTGGTTTAACTGATCTAGAAGAGCTGGGTCAGCTGTCGAACGATTCGGAGAGTCTCTTGTACCTTCAAACAATAATATTTATCAGTCTCAAATCCTATTTAATTGTTCAAAGCTAAACTTCTTAAGTTATACGCATTTTTCGGTTTGACTATCATTTGAGGTATTTCGAGTCTGAATTTGGCCAAACGGATTGCGGAATCGGAATCAGGGCGAAACATAAAGTATGACTTTTCGAAAATTCAAATTCTTGGTCAAAGTCAAAGTCAACCACTTTGACCGTAGATTTGAGACCTTCGGATTCGAATTTGACAAAACGGACCACGGAAACGGATTCGGCACGTCGAAAACTATCAGGATAGGTATACTCGGAAAAGATTAACGATCGTTTAATGCTCGGTCAAAGCCATTTTAAGTTTTGGTCAAAGAAAGTCAACGGTCAACGGTCAACGGTCGGTCGGGTCGGTCAACGTCGGGTCGGTCGGGTCAGACCGATCAACCACACGATGGTGCGGGAGGTGTCGTAAACGGAGCAACGATCAGCGGTGAATTTAAGATTTCCTCGGCGATAGAGCTAACAAAACCGTCACTACTTTGACTGGAAATTCCCGACATTTGGTCGCGTTTCGCTTCAATTAATTTGAAGGGTTTGTTCCTCGCTCGATGATGACACAACGGTGGTTTCAAAACAACGATCGGAATTCGACAGCGTTTGGATCGGACTTGAAAGTGGAGGTGTGAGAGGAAGAAAATTGAAGGAATAGCATTTGTGATTTCTGATTGTAAATCAGAAATCACGCTTAAATCATCAAGCCTACCGACAGTTTTAGGGGAAATTCAGGGCTTGGTCCCTGAATTTCCTTTACTTCAAACATGGCATACAAGTTTCCATAAATTTTAATTTAGTCACTTAATTTCACCCATTTTCACAATTTACCTCCAATTTCATTAATATTATTTTGTAAATATTCGGGTTGTTACAATTCTCCCCTCTACAAGAAATTTCGTCCTCGAAATTTACCTTACGAGAATAGTTGAGGAAACTGAGCCTCATTGACT